AGGGGCTCCTGGCATCGCTACTAGGAACAAGGACGCTACTAGGGGCTCCTGGCATCGCTACTAGGAACAAGGACGCTACTAGGGGCTCCTGGCCTTACTACTAGCAACAAGTATGCTACTAGGGGCTCCTGGCATCTACTAGGAGCAAGGATGCTACTAGGGGCTCCTGGGACGCTACTAGGGTCTCCTGGCCGTACTACTAGGAGCAAGAAGCTACTAGGGGCTCCTGGCATCGCTACTAGGAGCAAGGGCCGTACTACTAGGAGCAAGAAGCTTTTCCTCTCTGAGACGGGGCGTCAGTCGCCGGGATCCGTTTGGCCGTCAAGAGAACGCCAGGCGCGGCCCTTCCACTCGAACCCGTTGGGATGTTCTTCAGATGCCTTCACGTCACGAGATCGCAGGGAGGGGAGAGGCTCCGTATGAGGAGAGGCGGAGATCCTTTTTTTTGCACCCTCGATGCGCCAATAAGGAAGTCTTTGGGGCCAACAAGTCAGAAAACTTGAGCATTGATTTAAATTGATATATATACAGTACCGTATGGTTTTTTTGATGTCCAAGGTCCAGCGTCCTGGGCTTAGTTTTTTGCTTTCACTCACTTATTGATCTTTGCTTCTTTGTCTCGTCAATGCGTTTCCTTGTGCCTCCTGATGATGACTTTTCCTGCTGCTCTGTGTCTGTGCTTGTCAAGGTGACCGAATTGAGATTGTCCTGAGTTCCAGGAAACACAACTATCTCTTGCTGTCAAACTGAGTGTCCACTGTTGCTGTTGTTGTAACCAATCACCTTCTTTGTCCATTCTTGCCATCCATTTGCTGGCTTCCCTTTTTCCGCTGGGCCACGCCATCCTGTATTCTTTGCCTTTCCTTCCTCGTTTTCACGCTGGGTTCGTTGTTACAAGGGGATGACGCTTGTTTGTCGTACTGGTATCAAGGGGTTGTTGTCGATGTGGTCTTGACATTTTTTCGAGGATGATTTTAATACATATATTGTGTGTATTATATATGATTGTCCCAGTACTGACGAAAGGAGCGTTCAAATGAGGAATCTGACGAAAGGAGCGTTCAAATGAGGAATCTAAAGGTGCTCTAGACCATCCCCAGTGCTTGGGAGAGATGCTGATCGGCTCCAAATGTGTGACGACCATTTTCTAGTGCAGTGATATTCGGCCCTTCTTTTCAAGTCCAGCTACTGATCATGAGAAGCCGTACGCCAGTCATCAACAGTCATTTGGTTTTGCTCTTGTTTGTCAAAGACATTGTTTGACAGCGAAGGAGAACGTGAACTACTCCTGCGACAGAAAAGATGTTCTTTTTTTTTTTAAAGGTTGTAAACTAGGTTCATCATATAACCCTAATGAGGACGAATCCCCAAGAGGACCTCAGCACCCAGGACAGCCATACTTTCAGATAAGTCGTTTGTACCCTGAGTCTATCCACTCGCTCGAGAATGATGTTTCTCAGTTTTTTGACATAGCAGCGATGCCCTTTGTTACTAGTAGCTTCTTGTTCCTAGTAGTAATGACAGGAGCTACAGTAGCCTCAGGTCGCATTTGCGTCACGACTACCTCCTGGTCCCTATGCGGCATTACCGAAGGCTCGCAGTTGCGAAGGGTCCGGAGAGACTCAGTGGAGCATCCCGCTTGTGACAGGGCCGGCTGGGCAAAGTAGACTGAGGATTCGAGGTCCAAGCTGTAGGATTGGATTAGATACTGTAGACCTGAACGTTTGGGCAAGCTGCCATGATGAGCTGTGCCAATTATATACTCGTATCTTCGTCTAAGAAGTTGAGGAAACAAAGCTTCCTGGAGGAAACCAGGCCAGACTTTGGAATGTGGTAAGTTGTACGAGCACATCACCTTGTAGAGAGGGCCTCGTTGTTGCAGGTTCATGCAGCAATGCCCCATACACCAGTCGTGTCATGAGTGCTAGGCTCAATAAGACAGGTGTGTGAATGTTTTCGGGGTGACACGTGTTGGCTAAGAATGGATGGGCACTCAATAGACTGACCATTTGTCTTATTGCAGGCTACCATAAGTAACCCGAATCCCCGCTCAACTCCCAGCGAACAAGTTTTACTCGCCAGAAACTTTGGTTTGCATGGCCGCCTTCGGCAATGCAATGATGGGTTTGATTTTGCGCATGTTAGAGAGTCATGGCCCTTTTGCCTTGATCGACTTTCTCACTCAATTCTTCACACAGCTCCCAACGTTCTGCAGGTTAAAGGACTTTCTCAATCGGCTCATGTGCACGCTAGCAGCGTGGGGCCTGGTTCCGAGGGCTGTCAGATAAGCCAAGTTTGATGGATGACAGGATGCCAGGCTCAAGCCTTTGGTCATGGTATATAATTACATGTAACTTTATATATATATATACTTGGAGGGTGATGGGGCGGGGATGGCATAGGGGAACATGGCTGTTTGATCGCAACAGCCTTGCCCTTTGAAAGACCCACCCTGCGTCAGCAGGACACCAGGTTTCCCAAAGCAACTGTGTGCCTTCAGCAAAAGCGGATGATCCGATAGTTCAGGAGAGAGAACGTTTTTTCTTCTTGACTAGCAGTCCTTGCAAATCGGTTACTTGCTTTAAGCATTTGTAATATTAAAGGTTCTTTGTGGAGCTTTGGTGCTGGCCCTTGGTCAGATGACAGCCTCTCGAGGCGCTGTTGTTCTTCTTCTTCCCCTTCCTGGGGACAGGCCAGTCCTGAAGAAAGGACATCATATTAGTTGTCGGGAAATAGGAAATTCAATCTGTGCAGGAACAGATCAGAGGACATATTTGGATATCACTGGCGAGTGCATATGAGTGCATACAATTTTGTTCAAGAATGCTCAACCTTGGATCAACAAAACTAATGTGATTGCTGGCGATTGGAACATCCCACTGATTCATCAGTCCAACTTATTCTTATACTGTACTTTTTACTCCTCTCAAGACTCCCGGCTCAACATCCCAAGTGTTGGCTTGTTTTGGATTTGATTGTTTTGTGAAAACAATGTGCGCTGGACACTAGAATCAATATAGAGTTGGCAGATCTTATATGCACATGGTTTGCTGGGTAGCTGAAAGTGATCGGAAACAGGCAGAAGTGAGCTAGAGTAGAGATAATCACAGGCTTACACTTACTCTATTTAATGCTCTATTTCGTACAAGGTCCTTCACAATGGCAACACTTGCAAGGTAGACCGAGTGGACTAGTGTCGATTCACAAACTCACGTTTCAAGACTCAAAACTCGACAGTTCTTCCAATCTCTCCTTGATCTGCCAACTAACGGTCCTATGAACCTTTCAGCAAACATGACCCAGCATCAGTTTGGCGGTGTGCAGCGGTGTGCAGGCGTGCAAACCGCGGCGTATTTGGCTCCAGACCATTTTCGATACTCGAAAGTGTGTCTTTGTGTTTTTCGGTGTTGCCTTCCGCAATGGCGAATATGGTTCAAGAACCCTTGCAAAATGCCACTTGGACGACTTGGACAGCAAGGTCACCACGCATGGTCTTTTTTATGTCCTGATGCATTCTGGCGAACTTGGTCGATTTGGTTCATCAACTGGATGGCGAGTTGCAGCTCTAAGGGTTTAGTCTCCAAGACATGATTGTACTTTTGGGCCTTTGGGTGTCATCACTTTGTCATTGTAAATTGTACTGATTTATTCTCAAGCTTAATGTAGGGTGAAGTTACTATATAGTAGCCAGGGCACCGCTACTAGTAGCAACGGCATTACTAGTAACAAATAGTTATTTACCCGCCCTCCTCCATGAGCTCGGGGCCATCAGCGTTTGCTCGGAGCTGTTTGGGTGTGCGCATGCATGAAAAAAGGGCTACATGTTACACATTGGCAAAATACTACGTGAAGGCTTTAAATGGCCTTGGCGCTTCCTTAGCATCTGATTTGGCAACCTTTGTGCCCAAGAGTACACACCATGAACAACTCCCAATCTCACTGAAGGTGAAACTATGTAAAACTTCTTGGCTCTAGTGTGTGGATTGCTGAGTGCATTGATTGAAGTCACGACTATGCACTGTAGTGGCTATAGTACACAATTGTTTGAACAACTTTCTTTACTTGCATAGTTTCACGCATTTAAGAGAATTAAACTATGTAATTATGAACATACCGGGAAACATTTGGCTTGTCAACCTATGTGCCCAATACTATGAGCACAGAACAACTCCCCATCTCACAAAGCAGAACTACTATGTGCCCAAGATCATGAACCATGAACAACCCCAAATCTGATAAAGGTGCAAAACATACTTTGTACAGGTGTGTAGATTGTTGATCACAATGGAACATGCTGCAAATAGCTGTGCTGGACCACCTAATGCCGATTTTGAACCTACTGCATGCACTTGCAACAATTTGCAACGATTTAAATCACCACTATGCATTGTAGAAGCTACAGAGGCAGTGGACAATTGGCTTTAAACTGTTCTTACTAGGCGAACACACTGTCAAAATGTAGAAACCCAATGTAACTTATGCACATGCAGCAAGACTACGTACGTATGAGCTTCCAAAGACTATGAACCATGAACAACCCACGTTCTCATAAAGGTTAACATGCTTGGTACTGCTGTGGGTTACTGAGTGCAATGGCACAAACTGCAAGAATAATTGTTTGAATAGTGCAATTCTTTGCAAAATCGGGCAAACATGACAAATTCAAAAAATCAATCACCAACACATCGTTCAGATCAACAAAAATAGAGCTGCTTTACCACACCGCAAGAGTCACACCTGCACAGGGTGGGGAAGTACACCTACTATGCACTGGTTGCACTGGTTCCTACAACCGATATGCATGGGTTCCGTGTTTTCTTACACAAGGCCTCTTGACTCGGACAAGATATCCCCTCATTTTTTCATTGGAAGTTCTTCTCAAGGGACAATCCAGCATGTCAACCCCACCCAAAGACATGTTTAGCTGTCCTGGGTCGGGTGAGACATGGGAAACCTGAGAGTCACATGAAAATCATCATCCATGTTGACGCAGGTGATGTCGAAGAGCTTCATGAAGAAACGGGTTCTTTGTAAATACTTTGCCGTGGCCTGGCTTGCGAATCTGCTTGGGGTTTTGCAGCGAGACGAGTTTTTTCTCAGTGGTTCGGTTCGCCAAGCCACCCAATGATTTGTTTTTGCTTCCTGTTGCTCGTGATGATCTAAGGATGGCACTTGCACCAGAGGGCATCGCTGCAGGTTCGCCCACAGCCCCGCATTGCTGGAGGCAGGCAGCAGGATTTGCAGATTCGCACACATGAGGGAGAGGGGAGAGGGGAGTCACGACAGCATTGTGGACTCAAAAGAGCGGGTCGCTAGAGTGCTGATGGTAACATATATAAATATATATATATATATATATGTTGTCATAAATAAGAACTGGCGAGTACATGCGAGTGCCAGGAGGGTTTGTTATGATTATCAAGATGAAACTCAAGAGGGCGCAAGATGTTACGAAAGCTTGCTCCAATGAGCGGTCAAATTTGGGGCATGTTTGTGAAAATCTTCGGGGATCTTGGTACATTCTTAGGGCATATCCTTCTCCATGTTGTCACGTTTCGCCTAATGTTGGGGCTCTCTTCAGCCTTCTCGCGGAGGTATGTTGGAAGTGATTGGGGCTGTGGGGTCTAGATCAGGGCTATGTTGAAGGCCTTGCTGCTGTTGTTTTGTGGCCATGTTGGTCCACTTGGCTGCTTTACTCTGCCGTTTGACTTGGGCAGGTGGTGTTTTGCGTAGTGTTTGTAAAGCACTATAAATTTATAAACTATGAGAAATGAGGTCCGACAAGTGTAAGAAAGGTGGTTTTGACAGTTTTTTTTGGTCGTTTTGTTGCTTATGCAGGCTTGCTCCAGTGGGTGGTCAAATTTGAGGCACGTTTGTGCCAATCTTCGACGATCTTGGTGCATTCTTGGGACATACCCTTTTCCATATTGGCACATTTCACCGAACGTTGGGGCTCTCTTGAGCCTTCTCGTGGAGGTATGTTGGAAGTGATTGGGGCCGTGGGGTCTAGATCAGGGCTATGTTGAAGGCCTTGCTGCTGTTGTTTTGCGGCCATGTTGGTCCACTTGGCTGCTTTTTCTTTGCCGTTTGACTTGGGCAGGTGGTCTTTTGCGTACTAAAGCCATGAAAAATTAGGCCCGACAAGTGTAAGAAAGGTGGCTTTGACAGTGTTTTTGCTTACGAAAGCTTGCTCCAGTGGGTGGTCAAATTTGGGGCATGTTTGTGCCAATCTTCGGCGATCTTGGTGCATTCTTAGGGCATATCCTTCTCCATGTTGGCACGTTTTGCCCAATGTTGGGGCTCTCTTGAGGCTTCTCGTCAGGGTATGTTGGAGGTGATTGGGGCAGTGGGATCTATGTTGAAGGCTTTGCTGCTGTTATTTTACTTTTTTGCCGCGATGTTCGTCCACTTGGCTGCTTTTTCTCTGCCGTTTGACTTGGGCAGGTAGTCTTTTTGCGTAATGTGTGTATAACATCGTAAAACCCCGACAGACTTAGGTCCGACAAGTGTAAGGCGTTCCGTTTTCTTTGCCGTTCGACTTGGGCAGGTGGTCTTCTGCGTAGTGCGCGTAAAACACCGTAAAAACCATGAAAAAAATGAGGTCCGACTACCCTGCAGCAATAAAATGCTGCTGCTCCGCTTTCCGTGTTTTTTCCGAACTGGTTTTGCAGACTTTCAAGTGTGAGTTCTCGAGGAAGTCTCGTGCGAAATGCTCGTTTTGGAGACTTGACGCGTGACTTGTGGAGGAAGTCTCGCACGAAACGCTCGTTTTGCAGACTTCAAGTATGAGTTCTTGAGGAAGTCTCGTGTGAAGCGCTCGTTTGGGAGACTTGACGCGTGAATGTTGCAAGAACCCTTTTACGAAATGCTCGTTTTGTAGACTTGACGTGTGGCTTTTGGAGGAAGTCTCGTACGAAACGCTCGTTCTGGAGACGTGATGGTTGACTAGTTGGAGACTTTAGTAGTCCCCCACACGTGTGTCCCACAAGAGTGTCTTACAAAGTCCTACAAGAGTGTCCCGCAAGAGTGTCCGATAAGAATGTTCGACAAGAGTGCGCCACAAGAGTGTCCCACAAGAGTGTCCGACAAGAGTGAGCGTGTCCTACAAGAGTGTCCCACCAAGTTGCTCAGCGTTTTTTGTTCTGTGGCGGGTAAGCCCCTTTACGGGAGACCAGTATATATATAAAATTGACGTTCTCTGTCGGGAACGTGTAGACACAGTTGGTCTATTTGTACTTTAAGATCTTTAAGCTTCATTGGCAAACGACTGGTCACGGATAAATTGGCATGTTTCAGCTGAAGAGCAGGGACCTCCTAGAATGCTTCGGAAAGTCCTTGAGCAAGAGGCAAGATGCTCATGTGAGCACGGATTGATCATGCTTCTCTCGCTGAAAACGTTCCAGGACTCTGTTTTGCAACGTGTTCATCAAGAAAAACCTGCGACGCTTTTCGCAGACGTTCCAAACCAACCATGTTAAAAGGTTCATTTTTGAGACATCCGAAACTGCCTGGGCACAACATCCCTTATTGTCATATGCTCAGAAAACACAATTTTCCAGAAAACGCTTTCAGCGGCTTTCACCTTGCAACCAGTTTGTATTTATACGGATGCCTTTGGACACACGTGCCGGCCAAGTGGTGCCAGTTCTGCTGGTGGTTCCAGGTGACTACAGAGAGCGATCCGGAGCAACG